GCAGGAAAAAAAGTTTCCTGTGATGTCTTCAGCAAATTTCCATCTTGAGGACTTGGAGCAGTCAGGAGGTACATCAGCTCTGTCAGGCAGGGCTTGCAGACAGCTCTGCAAAACAGTGTCTCCTGAAGTTACTTAGCTAACCCCAGCCTGACTCTTCCTCAGCAAATCTAAGAGCCCAAAATGTCACTGCCTGCCCTGAGCCTGCCAGCTGGGGGAAAGCTGAGCAGCAGCAAGCCTGATAAAAAGCCTCTTTGCAAGGTTGATAATACACTGACTCACATCTCCCTTTGCAGTCGCCTGTCCAAAAGGAAAGCAGCATTGTACAGAAGTGACATTTTTATTACCCTGGCCTTGTTTAACCAAAGATGGTAAATGCCAATGAAACAGGACGGTGTGTGTGTCTGTAAGAGGTGATTCCACCTCACTGGTCTCTTTGCTGGAAGGAGCAAAACTGAAGTCTAAGCCTCTGTGAGGTGCTTGCACATAATTACCATGTCATGGAAAAGATGTGTATGCTTGATAGCAGTGGCAGTATATTACATGATGAAGGGGTTAACCAAATCCTTACATGGCTCCAGTGCTTCTTGTCTAGTAACTCATCATTTGTGTTGAAGTTTCCCAGAATGGTTAAAATAATAAGAGAATGGCAGCAAATTTCCTAGAAGATTCTTGCCCAGGATCTTGCAGACTGTTCCTACCTGTGTCACAAATTTTACAGCTGGAGAATTAAGGCAGAGGGAAAATCAGTGATCTGTTCAGATTTAGAGAAAAAATACTGAAATAATTTGGAAAAGAAAGCTGACTAATTTTCAGACATCCAAACCTGTGCTCAAGCTGCTAACCAGTATTATTCCTCTTAAAGAGTCTAATACAAAGATACATCTGGTTGATTGTTTTCAATAACCACATACTGAGGTTCTGCTTATTCTACAATGGGGGAGTTCAGGATTAAACATGAGGAGAAACTGTAATGCCATTGAGGCTGTCAGTAAAGTTCATATGCAGTAGGGATTACTCTGCTTTGCTGGAGCACTTGCAAGGTGTTCCTGAAGGTTTCCAGAAAGATTCCACTTGACCTATCAGTAGCATTAGAAAAGTGTTTTAGTTGAAGCAGGTTTCCCTCTGCTTTCATTAATGGGCAGTTCCTCTAGCCTGGTTCACCAGAGTCATATTTCATGGAATCATAGAACATGCTGAATTGGAAGGGACCCATCAGGATCATTGAGTCCAACTCCTGTCCCTGTGTAGGGCACCCCAAGAATCACCCCATGTGCCTGAGAGCATCATCCAAAGGCTTATTGAGCTCAGGCAGGCTTGGTGCTATGACCACTTCCCTGGGGAGCTTGTTCCAGTTCTCAACCACCCTCTGGGTGAAAAACCTGGTATCTGTGCTTTCTAATATGTTTCAATATCTTTTTGGTCTCTTTGGTGTGAATCTAAAAGAGATCAATAGAGTAATGTCTTGAAATGGATTGTATTGTTTTACATAGTGATGCTCAGCTTCCTATATAACTTTTACAACAAAATAATCTTTAAAAGAATTCTTTTGAAATTGAAAACATGCAACACTTCACAGGTTTCACATTTCTACACATAGATTGATCAAAAGCTTTTCTGTCCAAATGGAGTAATTTTAGATTAATCAAACGGTCGGAGTGGAGATCGAAAGTAGTAGAAGAGGAAAGCACAGAGGTTCTTCTCTGCACCTAATTGTCCTTCAGTCAGTGGATGGGATGTTGCCTTCCCTAGAAAAGGGGAGGGGGCAAAATGTGTGATTGCTCTGACTTGATCTGGGCACAGTGTTTCACATGTTGCAAAGTGAGAGTCAATATGGAATTGGACACCATCTTGCAGACACTCAACAGACACAGCCCATAGGGCAGCAGGGAGCCAGACCAGTGGTCTGGGAGATTTGGATAAGCAGCAGAAAATGGCTGAAGATGTATTTACACACACCACAGCAAGGCCTCAGCAGTCCTACCTTCAGAACTGAAAGAGACAGAGGTAGAGATAATATTCTGCCCAAATCCTTGTTGTTGCTGGTTGAGGAAGGGGGTTACCTGTCCCAGCTGCAAGATTATATGCAGTGGGGCTTCCTGCAATCATTCATCACTATTATTTACCCCTTCCTGTGGCTGCACTGATTCAACCCTTGCCCAAACCCTTCAAACCAGGCAAATCTGCCAGCCCAAAGAAGCTGTGGGACTGTGCTGGGGACAGATGGCTGGGCTCCTCAGCGAGCAGAGCCAGCGGGTACGGTTCCAGCAACAGGCTCTGGCTGCTTCGTTGGGGTAGTGATTGATGGTGACTTATACAAGGGCTAAGAGTAATTCTTTGCTGTTAACCAGACTTGGCTACAGCAGAGTGGAAGTGGAAATTTGTTGCTTCATTTATTCATCCTGCCTCTGCTTCCTTCCCGCCCACCCTCTCTGCCTTTTAATACCAAAAAGATGAAGCTACTTTGCTCAATCTTAAAATTGTCTTTCCCAAGATACTCTTAATTGTATCTCTACACCTTTTCTCACTCATAGACGCATAAGAAGATTAAAGATAGAGGGAGCAGTAATAGATTTAGTTAGGTTTTAATAGGATTTGCAGAGGACAATGCAGAGAATGAACGCCACAGAGAATATTGCTACTCTATCTTTGATATCCCTAAGGCTTCTTCGGTAGGCTTCACAGAGGTTTTGTCTCTGCCCTGCATTCAGAGTCTCATTTTTCAATAGAGCATTTGTGGTTTTTTTTTAAAAGGAGTATCTAATCATCTCAGTAAACAGGATGTTACATTATAACCTGCAAAAATGATTGCAGCCGTCATTTTGTGTTGCTTATTTGTATCTTGTTAAGCATAGCTTTTGTGGACAGGGGGTTGTTTAATAGCTGTGAGTTACTTTTCCAAGCGTCTCGGGTGTCTTTGTCTAAAGTCAGATGAAGTAAAGGGTTGGGTTTTGTTATCTGATACACAGCAGGCCTGGATGCATCACACCTTCTGACACCTAATTCAGATGCCAAAATAAAAGCCTATTTCACGTGGACCTCAGGTCCCAGAAAAACTTGTGGAGGAGGTGTGGTGCTTCCAGAAGGTGATTCAGCACACCTGAAGTCTGAATTCTTATCCCTGGAGGTGCCTTTCTCTGCTGTCAGGGAAACCTTCATGCATCATTTAGACTTCTGTGAGATCCAGGCAGACAACCGTGCTCGGTGTTCTCTATGAATTTCTAAGGTTTCTCTTGGTGTGCACCCAAACCCTGAGGCACCAAAAACTTCCAATCCCTCTGGAAAATCGATGCTGCTGTATCTTCACTTCTAGTTGTGATCTCAAGCACATTCTGGGTGTAAAAAAATCTGAGTCCTTAAAGAAAACCAAACCAGTGTAACAAGGGGTACCTGCCTCATGACTCCCCGGCTGTGCCCATCGCCCTATTTCCTGAGGTTCCAGGAGTGCATTAAGCAAAGTGACTCCAGCTGGTTCATGCTTGAAGGGACCGTGTGTTATGAATCAGGGTTTAACATCCAGCTCAGTGCAGCATTATATTTAGCAAGTGGCTGTCGTGAGAGAAGTGCTGGAGCCTTTCAAAGGGTTTCCCAAAACAATGCGTGGTCCGAGAGAAAAGCTTTCCTGACCTAGAATCAGCCCTGGATCAGAGCAGAGGAAAGTTTGTCAGAGCAACATTCATGTGCTTGCAGTGTTTGTTGTCCTGATCTGTCACAAGTCAGACAGTAAAACGAAATTACTTTTGTCTCAGCCCTTTTTCCCTGTCTTAAACTTAATTTCTTTTTTCTCCTCCAGCCCAGCCATGGCCGGAGATTCTAGGATCTTCATGAACCAGGACATGGACATTGGAGTCACATCCAGAGAGCCTAAGAAGATTCCCAAGCAGGCTCGGGATGATGTCCCCATCGCCACCGACCGGACCCGCCTCATCTCAGCAGAAGGGAAGAAGCCACGTCAGCGTTACATGGAGAAAAGTGGGAAGTGCAACGTGCACCACGGAAATGTCCAGGAGACCTACAGGTACCTCAGTGACCTCTTCACTACTCTGGTGGACCTCAAGTGGCGTTTTAATCTTCTTGTCTTCACTATGGTCTATACCATCACTTGGTTGTTTTTTGGGTTCATATGGTGGCTCATTGCCTATATCCGGGGAGACCTGGACCACCTTGAAGATGAGAACTGGATCCCCTGTGTTGAAAATCTCAGTGGATTTGTTTCTGCATTTCTGTTTTCTATCGAAACTGAGACAACCATTGGGTATGGCTACAGGGTCATCACGGAGAAGTGCCCAGAAGGCATCATACTGCTCCTGATCCAGGCTATCCTGGGCTCCATTGTCAACGCGTTTATGGTGGGGTGCATGTTTGTCAAGATCAGCCAACCAAAGAAGAGGGCTGAAACCCTCATGTTTTCTAACAACGCGGTGATTTCCATGAGGGATGAGAAGCTCTGTCTCATGTTCCGGGTTGGAGACCTCCGCAATTCCCACATTGTTGAGGCTTCCATTAGAGCCAAACTGATTAAGTCCAAACAGACCAAAGAAGGAGAGTTTATCCCTTTGAACCAAACAGACATCAACGTGGGATTTGACACTGGAGATGACAGATTGTTCCTGGTGTCACCTCTTATCATCTCACATGAAATCAATGAGAAAAGCCCCTTCTGGGAGATGTCCCGCACCCAACTGGAGAAGGAGGAGTTTGAAATTGTGGTCATCCTGGAAGGGATGGTGGAAGCAACAGGTAAGGACTTGTCAAAAATCAGGCACAATTTTGAGGGGGGAAGGGGAAAAATGGAGAGCAGTTTGGCATTAAAGTTTTACTGTCAATGTCAACTGGACTAAGAACATATTGGGAATTGTCCTTCTCTAGTAACTGATTCAGGTGGGATAATGTGGTCTGAGATAGACAGCAATTAAAAGATGGGTCATTTAGCTCACATTTAGCTCAGTGTTTCACACTCTTCATGTAAGTGCAGGATTTGGACACAGGGTTAGATGAGAAGCTATCCATAATCACTTTGAATTGATCCATGGGGAAAAGAAATGGGCTAAAACAATTCATGAGGTCTCTTGCAGTCCTGTTTTCTGTGATCAAAATTCATGGTGCAAATCTTTTTCCATTTCTCCTCTGTATTAAAAATTGGCTGTAACTGTGCTACTTAGGTATTACTCTGGTGCTGCTTTTTAATGCAGGCTCTGAAGTGCCCAGGTATTACAACATCCCATAAAGCAGCATGTGCTGAAACTAAATGACTTGCACATGAGGCAGGACATATATTTTTTTCAAGAGGAGCTCAAAGAGGAGAAATGCAGAAACTGCTTCTGTGACTCTTGGAGCCCAGCAGAGGTTTAACAGCAGAAAACAATTCTGTGCCAAGGGGTAGATGGGATCTACTCAGCTGATCCCCAGTTTCCTCCTATGGGTGTACCTGTGGCAGGTGATGAAAGAAGCCTACACCCATATATAATAAATCTGCAAAAGCTGTGTGCCTCAGCTTTCCAAATTGTAGAAAAGGGAAATGGCAGGTGCCTCTCAAGCTGGCTGGCTGGCTGGCTGGCCACAGACCCTCTAGGCTTTTTTCTACAGGTGGGATACACTGAGGACAAAACCTTTACTCCTGTGTCTCACCTGAAAGTTGTGGCACCATGAAGTAATTTCACTACCTGCAGCTCATTCCTTTCTTCTAGGCTTTGAGGAGGAGCTGGCAGGCTCTGCCTGCTGTGCTCCCAGCACAGCAAGTGTGGTTAAACTCCCTGAGATGCTGCTGCTCCCTTCAGGCAGGCTTTCAGAGCCTGGGCTTGGCAGTGTGCCTTGGTGGAGCTGGGGCCTTTGAGGGCAATGGGGCTACAGGCAGTGCTGGAGAGAGAATTGCTATCTAGAGATGTGGAAACGGAGAGTCAGAGATGCAGAAAAGCTTTTCTAAGTAGTTTTGCCCTTTGGTCTTTAAGGATTTTAGTTATGAGATGGCACTGTGAACCCAAGTGTTTTCTCTTGGTTGTGTTTGGGGTTTTTTTTCCCTGTTGCTGAGGTTCTCCCTGAAACACTAATGAAGGGTTTGGGCTTGATGTGGTATCAGCACCCTGTCTCACAGATTCTGGCCCTTGCCTACTATTAATATTGTTCCCTTCTTGAGATTTGCCCTTGTTAGTCTCCTAACAGGGGAAGTAGTCTCTCAAATTCCTGCATCCCAGACCTCCAGCCCTGGACAGATCTCTGGAGTGCTAATTCAGTTTCCCAGCTTCTGCCTTTAGCTGTTGGGTGAATAACAATAGCTGACTTTTCTAACCAGAGCTAATGGCAGGTTATGTACAGCCTGCACTGTGCCCAGCCTGGAGTACTGTCTTGTAGAAGTGGAATTCATTTGGCATTTCTAGGCAAATATTCTTTCCCAGCAATCACAAAGATGTGGCAAAGGGAGAAGAGTGGGTAGAAAAGATTATCAAAGGCAACAATTTGTAATGGAAGTTGCTTTTGTAGCCTGAACATTCACTAGCTACTAGAACTTCCTAATCTGAGCATGAAATGCAGTTCTTTGTTTGTCCAAAGCCTCTTCCCTCATCACACAGTGACACTATCAAATTCTACTACTGCACTGCCTTCCTGTTCTGAAAGCTCAGCCTCTGCTAGATAAGTGTGAGAGGAAGTCATTATCAATAACAACCTCAAAATTAAAAGCATGGCATAGGAATAATTTTGCTTTATAAATGGGCTCCTCTCCCAGAGGGGTTGTACAGGCCAGTGTGTAATGACATTAAGGAGCATACATGTGTGGAAATGAATTATTCTGGTCTCAGAAGGCAGGCTGTGAAATTCCAAAATTGGAGCTAGAAGAGTCAGTTTGCATTGAGCACAGAGCACAGTGCACCTCAGATGATGCTGTTCCCTGCCTGAGGGGCTGAGATGGTTTTCTGAATGACATATGGTACCTGGGAGAGGTGACATTTTGCCACAAGGAGGGTGCCCTGCAGGAGCACAGTCTTTGGGCTTTCTGCTCTGTCTTCACAACAATATTGATCAAGCAGTTTGGGAGATATCAATCCTTACCTCCATGGCTTAAAATTTGCTCCAAGCAAATTCTTTAGGTTCTTCCCCTGCTACCATCCTGTTCCAGCCCCACCTGCTTTCAGGAATGGTGTCAGTTACTTTCAGCCTGACTTCTATTAAATCAAGGCACTGATATAACCTGGTCAGGTTCAGGGCAGGATAAAAATGTACCAGACTGATTGTTCCCTTGGTAACCCCTATGAAAAATTCAGAACCACCATCTCAGTGCTGAGAGGTACAACAGGTCAGCATCCAAAGCTCTGCTTGTGGTGCAGAAGGGGCAAGGTCATCCTGCCTGCTGCCTCAGAGATGCTGCAGCTCTGTGGTTGTTGACAGGAGTAAAAATGAAGAGGAACTTACTCCATCTTTACAGACACCAGCAAAGCAAACTGGGAATGCATCCTGCACTGGCAGGGAAAAGGCAGCTATATTTTTCCATAAGGTATTTTGACAGGAGGTCAAAATGGCCATTGTCAATGTGCAAATGACCACAGAAAGTTGTGTGATGTCTTGCCTACAATTTTTCACTGAAATATTTGGGACAGCAATTCAGTATTGCCCATTGCTTTAACCAACCACACACCTTACAAATGTAGTTTATTGTCTCTTCTCAAACAAGTTAACTCCTTTCACTGCCATTTAAGTTTAATTCTAATCCAGTGAAAAGCAAAGATGGTAAATAGTTTCAAATTAAAAGTGTAGAATAAATTCTGAAGAGTCGAAACACTTTATTATCGTTTTTACAAAAAGAAACATTGTGGCTTAAAACAATGTTTTTGTTTTCAAGTTGAATTGAATTTCCTAAACATTTCAAGTTGGTTTTTTTACAAAGTGAAATATTGTGTTTAAGCCACATTTTTAGTTTCCAGTTGATTCGAATTTTTGAAAGGATAAATACCTACACACTGCAGAACAGCAACACCCAAGAAACATGCTTTTTATTTTGCTGAAAAAGGAAGTAAACATGGGATTAGTCTAGTGAGAGCCCTGAGGGACCTGCAGCAGTTGCACTGCCTACCTGACCCCTCAGGCAGCCCCAGCCAAGCCCATCAGCACAGGCTTTTCCTGTCAGGATCTGACTGTGTCACCCCATGAGAGGTTAAAAAATGCCAAAGGGAGACCAAGGTTGTGGGCAGATCTGTTGTGGTCTGAGTGAAACGTTCCCTGTAAAGACAAAGTCAATACAGATGACAAGTTTCTGATTTCCAGTGCTGCTTCATGGGCATCTTTAAAGCAGCAGCATCACTCACAGGGCTGCCTGAATGGATTGGTCACAGAGATTACTTGAAGGAATTAATTCTCTCCTGCCTTACCTGAAAGGGACACTTGTCAAGATCAGCTGGCACAGATTTAACCTGCAATTAAAGGGAATAAAGTGAGACTGGAAAATCTGTTTGCAAAATGACCACATTTTTGCTTTTGCTGCCTTTCTGCTTCCTACAGTGGCAACAACAAGTTGGAGCCATCCTGTGACAGGACTGGTCTAGGCTCTGGTTCCCTGGTTGTTGGCCACCTCCTGCTCCTGGACTGAACACAGTCTGTAAAGCAAGGCTGCTGCAAACATGGAAGATAATTGATCCACCATTACAGAGCACATAGTAAAATTTGCTGGCTGTAAATACAGGACAAAATAAGTAGCCACAAAATAAAATATCCTGAAATTAATAATGGCTTTCATGGGAGAACAAAGAAAGGGTGGAACTACTAACTGGAGTTTTCATTCTTCTTCTGATTTGGGTTGTCTTGTTGGTTTGCTTTGCATTTTGCTTATGAAGAAGTTTTCTGCAAAGTCCATGCAGAACTGTTTCAGAAACTGCTTATATAATGACAGAGAAGTGAGAGTTGTCTCTGGTCATTCTTCTTGTGAGCTGAATTGCCCTCCAGAGGTGGATCTTGGCAGGCTGCTCATCTCAGGTGCCTCTGCAGTCACTATAAATACCTTTGTGAGAGGCCTGAAGTTACATGGCATGAGGTCAGTGCTCAGTTCTGCCTGGTGGAGACATGGCAATTGAATCCAAGATCTTTAGATCATAAGGCCCTTTTCTGGGTTTGTTTTTTTGGGTTATTGTGGGTTTTTTTTCCATTCCCATTTGCATGCCTGGAGAGAATTCAGATAAATTAAAATCCTATTACTCTCCTCTGGCATAAAAATCAAAGTGAATCAGGCCCAGACATGTCCTTCTCTAAAGGAGACAAGCACAGGTAATTGGAGGACCATGCTCATACCTTGTAATACTCCTTTTCAAGTAGGAATAATATTGACCTTTTGGAGGTTACAGTGCTCTTTGGTCTAATTAATGCAAAAGGGTTAATAAATTTTGTAACTATCCAAATACTGATGCAAATCTAAAGACACGTGTTGCTTAATTAGAGAGATATAAGTTAAAATCTCCATAACTACTCCTTACAGTCCTAACTTCTGTCAGTCTGTCACTATAGCTCTGAGTCCCTCAGCTCTTTCTCTGCACTCTTGTAGTGTGAGTGGAGGTCACCTGAAGGAGCAGAGTGTGTGTGGTGCAGCTTTATGTGCACCCAGGACGAGGGGAAAAGTCACCCTGCACACAATAGTGTATGAAAACAAGGACAGAGAAGTGAAATCACTTCCAGCAATAGCTGTGTCTGAACTGCAGAGAGAGCCTAGCAAATATGGCTAACATACAGGCAGCATCCACATGACATTTTGCCAGCAGATAATCACTGAGCTCTGTGGCATTTAAATGAGGAGAGTTAATTTTAGGCTGATGAAAAATGTTGTCTTGACAGCCCCAGGGGTTGGGATATCTCTACCCACTGAGAAAGTCCAGGCTGTGCAGCAGTACTGCAAGATTCAGCTGTGCTGGTGATGTGATCAGATTGAAGCCTGTGGCAATTTCTTGGGTTAGAGGATCATACTTCATGGTCCTCTTGCCTTTGCCCTCTCCCCTTAACCTGCCAGCACAGGTACTGGCTATGACAGTGTGGGGGATGAAAAATGCATCCTCCAACAGTCACAGAGAGACATCTGGCTCATCTCTGGCTCACCAACCAGCTGCAAAAGCAGTTAGATTTGGCCTGCAATAATGAAGTTTGATTTTTACTGGTGACCCAAGGGTACATAGGACCTGGAAAGCAGGAGCAGCCACTTCTCTGGCAGTGTGGCAGGGCCAGGCAGGGCTGCTCCACTTGCATCATCAGTGGCACTGGGAGCAGTGAAATGTTCTGAAATCTGCAGCTCCCATTGAGCTCCCTGCAGAAAATCCAGGCTCCTCACTGAGCCATCAAATAACTGCTTTTTGTCAGCACACATTAACATTCCTTTGTCTTTGATAAAATGTGAGCTGCTTGATCCCAGCTGATTTGATGACAGAAAAGTGCCTTATTGGTAGAGTTCCCTGACACTTCTTTTACACACCAGTCTTTCTTCAGTGAGTCTCTGCTCTCAAATGTAATGAAACACCTGGTTTAATACACAGAGCAATATATTTTGCATCTTTTAATCTGCTGGAAACTAGAAACGAGCTATTTAGGAAGGCATCTTTAAACAGGAACATGCACAAACTCTGTTATTGATCCTGTGATGTATTGATTCCAGCCAACAGACCAAAATCCACTTCTTAGGATTCTGCTATAATGAAATTATCATTAAAACTCCATGAAATATTTATTGCAGAACTTGAAACCAAGAGGCAATCCCTCTGGTCTCCAGCTTTCTAAAAAGCCTGGAACTGGTTCCAGCTTTATTGAAAATTTGGTGCATCTGCTTATAACTTTGTACCAACTTTTTTTCTGGTTTCAATTAAAATGTTTTGTTTGCAGCTGAAAGCCAAGCTGGTGAATTAAAAGATAAGAAAGCTGTAACTAAACCCTGAAAGCCAAACATTTCACCTCTCATTTCACATTTTCCACAACTGATAGATTGTACAAATTTATATTAAATATACTTCTTCATTTTTCAACCAGATTTTTTAGGAGAAAATTAAACTTCTAATGGTCTTATTATCCAGAAAATATAATACACTTGAAAAATAAAAATCTCAATTACTTTCTTTCTAAGTAAATGTTGAAGCACACCTACTTAGACTGACAATGGGGAAAGAAGGATATTTTTTTGGCATGAAGCTTATTTAAATGAAGGCCCCAAGTCACCAAATACCACTTCTCTGCAACTCTAAGAGAGCACAGAGGGCTCCACAGTGCACGTTGTGTGCCAGTGGGAATCAGCTGCATCATGTTCTCTTAATAAAAGTAAGGTTTATTGTTTCCACACCTCTTCTGTCATCTTTTTGCAGTTACAGAGGCAATAATTAGCTGGGGATATTACAGATGCATTAATTAACCAGGCTGGAGAGCACAGGGCAGCCTGCAAAGCAGGCACTTTATGGAATGTGAAGCAGAGACAATGCAATGTTGTTTACTGGGTACTGTAGGAGTTGCCAGGCAGTTTGTCCCCACGCAATTAAAGCACCACTGCACATGTGCTAAAAAGGAATCTTTGAATGGGATTATGGAGCAATTACAAGTTGTCTTATTGTGCTGGCTCTGTGTACCCCTGGGGTTACAGAAAGCAGCTCCTGCAGGAAGCTGGCAGCGTGCAGTGTTTGGTTGCTGAAAGCTTTCTATTGTTCCTTCCTTAATTGAATACTTACAGCAGGAGATAACTATGACTGTGTCTCTGGAGCTCAGGTTCACTGTCAGGTATTGCCCCCAGGGAAGCAGCTATTTCAGGCCCTGATTACAAGGCAGGAGTTCCTTTAGGAAACCTCAGGCCCCCACGTTTCATGGGGACCCACCATCTGGGGACAGCTTTGGAAAGGCTGGTGTGGCCAGGAGCCCAGGGCAGGTGACACTGCATTTGTGGTGTCACCTGGAGCCTCCACTCAGGAGGGGTCTCCTCGCTGGTAAATCAAAAGCTGAATGTTTCCTGAAAAGGTGCTGTGCCTCAGCAGAGCCTCTCCTGAAGGCAACAACCCTGGGGGTGATTTTCCTCGCAGCCCCTGCTCTTCCCAGCTCCTTCTGGCCCAGGAAGCAGGCAGGCTGGAACACTGTGACTAACACTGTGCTTGTTCCTGCCCAGAAGCAAACACTCCTGCAGATCTTAATGGGGGGGAAAAAATTGGCTTTTCAGTCTCTGAAACTGAATTGGAAATTTCTCAAGGCGTTGCATGTGTCACTGTCCCTCTTTTTTCCCTCTCAAGCCCCAGTGGGATCTTTCCAGTCAGGCCTCTCTCACCCTCCAAAAGAGAACGATGGGAGGAAAACTGTCAGGTCAGGTTTTCCAAATTTCCCCAGAATTAATTCCAAAATCATAACATAATTAGGACAAACAGAAGACAAACATTTGGAAGAGAAGTTGGCCTTGACATTGGCAGGTGATTCCAAAAGAACCTGTTTGCAGTTGTGCCAGTGCTGGAAGCTCAGCCCTGCTCTTCTTGCAAAGCTTCTCTTGAAACTTTTTTGTAGTAAAAAACCCCTCAGCTCCTGGGGGCTGAGAAGCATCCTGTATTGCCCACTGTTCATTCAATCCACAGCCCATTAATACATGGAATTCAATATGCTAACAAGCTCAACTGTGTAATGTTGTAGGTTTTGGTTCTGCCAACCCAACACAGTTGGAATGAGCTCTCCAGAGGGATGTAAAAGCCAGCTTGCTGCATAAAGCACTGGGAGTTGTGGCTCCCTTGGTGTCCTACAGGCAGTGCAGAAGGGAGCTGCAGAAGGGATCCTGCTGGAGATGAAGAGGGATGGAGTGCAGGGCAGGGCTCCATCCTGCCTGGACTGCCTGGGGCAGGGCTGGATGTGATTCTAGCATGATTCACCAGAAGTGCTGTTGGTATCAGCCATGCAAGCAGCACCTCAGCAGAGCAATGTGAGAGGACAGAGAGCAGCTTCTTAGTGATAGCAGAGCTGAAGCCCATAAGCAGCAGGTTCAGGCCAGCCTGAAGGTGCAGTGGTGAATCCCTGCGTGTCCCTGTGCAGGCTCAGCTTGTTCAGGGTAGAGGCTTTTGTGAGGATTATTAAGCAAAGACCTTTTCTGTGTCCCAGAGCCACCGGGTACGGAGAGAACATGAAAGTGCTTTTAAATGCAAGAAGTGGTTGGGTGAGCACGTAAGGAAGCTTTGCATCTAACATCCCTCTGTTTCCACCCAGGGATGACTTGCCAGGCTCGCAGCTCCTACATGGACACCGAGGTGCTGTGGGGCCATCGCTTCACCCCTGTCCTCACCCTGGAGAAGGATTTTTATGAAGTCGACTACAACAGCTTCCACAGCACCTACGAAACCAACACCCCCGTGTGCTGTGCCAAAGAGCTGGCTGAGTCCCGGCGGGAGGGCCAGCTCCTCAGCCACCTCCCCACTGCCCCCCTCCTGAGCACGGGCAGAGAAATGGGGACACCCAAAGGGGAGGAAGAGGAAGAAGAAGGCAGGGAGCCAGTGGGACTGATCGGAGCCAACGGGACGGCAGGGGAGGTGAAGGAAGATCTGCCAGTATAACACATGGACATACCTTTCCTGGGAGACTGTGGCTGACTGGGAGTCAGAGAGCTGAGGTTTATGTCCAGGTCACTGCTGCTTGAGGCTGGGCTAGTCACTGCAGAGCACTGTGCCTCAGTTTCCCTCTTTTACCTGTACAGTGAGGTTCTGTGCTTGCAGCCCTTTGCAAAGCATTTTGATCTCTATGGACAAGGCTCACTATGATCACTGCTAGAACTGAAATTCCCACCACTGGCTGTTTCAAAAGACGTTCATTGAGTGCTCAGAACATGAGAGATGGTATTTAAAAAGTGAAAGCCCAGAATGTCCCATCTCAGTTAGAAGAATGTGGTTTCATACCTTCACTTAATTTGTGAGTCAATGTATTGTAGACATTGTTACTGCTAAATTAAAAGATTAAAAAAAACCCAAACCCTAACCCTTTCTGGTATGTAGTGAAGTGTTTTGCCTCAATGATTTTTACAAACAGATTTTAGCATTTCCCTCCAGGACCACAGTTTATTTCCTTCAAAATAGCTGATATTAATAGGGCAATTTTCCCTGCATATTTTTTGCATGCTTACCCAATCTTTTGACTGTCTTCTCAACCTGCAGTGCTGTCTTTGTGTGCTCCTTCCATGGAAACTCTGACACATTTCATAGGCTGCCCATGATCAGAGAGAGTTTAAATCTTGCCCCACTGAAGGTTCTTTTTTTTCTGGCCCAGATTCAGTAGCAGCTCATGATTTTAAACAAGGTAAGTAGCCATCTGGGAGTTTGAAATGTTCTGGAATTTCACACAGAGACCCTGGAATAAGTAAGTACCAGTTTGTAAGTAAGTAAGTACCAGTTAGTACCAGTTTGCAGCTCTTCTGTAAAGTCTGTATTTTAAAATAAAGGTTTAGATGCTGATGTTCACGGGCACATGCACTGACATGACTGAAGCCATCTGGTCAGGCTGGTGCCAGCATGTTAGTTGGTGTCCAAAGTCAGGATCAGTTGCCCACTCCTGCCAGTGCCAGGCAGTAACATCTCTGGAGGTCTCATGCTCACCTGTTGGTAACTTCTTGGAGTGGCCATGCTTTGTCCTGCAGCTCCAGGATTGCTCTTCCTCTGCAGCACCAAACTCAGTTAACAATTTAGGTCTTTATAAAGAGGTAGGGATAGAGAACTGTACTGTCCAAAGAGGATTGTCATGTCCAGAAAAGGAGGGAAGAAAATTAGTCTGTGAGATGAAAAATTTCCAGAGATCAAAGCAGTACAGAAAAAAAAATGGCACTTATTGGGGAAAATCTCTTTCCTTACCCCCCAAAATTTGGTGGAAAAAATAAGATACCTGCAGAATTACCACATTATCTAAATGGAATTAAGACTATTTAATATGCAAGAGTTATTTTCTATATTGGGACAACAAAGGAAGGACTGGATGTGTATCTATGAACTAAATATACATTGTATGTTATATACACTGCATGACACATTTCATAGGCTGCCCATGATCAGAGAGAGTTTAAATCTTGCCCCACTGAAGGTTCTTTTTTTTCTGGCCCAGATTCAGTAGCAGCTCATGATTTTAAACAAGGTAAGTAGCCATCTGGGAGTTTGAAATGTTCTGGAATTTCACACAGAGACCCTGGAATAAGTAAGTACCAGTTTGTAAGTAAGTAAGTACCAGTTAGTACCAGTTTGCAGCTCTTCTGTAAAGTCTGTATTTTAAAATAAAGGTTTAGATGCTGATGTTCACGGGCACATGCACTGACATGACTGAAGCCATCTGGTCAGGCTGGTGCCAGCATGTTAGTTGGTGTCCAAAGTCAGGATCAGTTGCCCACTCCTGCCAGTGCCAGGCAGTAACATCTCTGGAGGTCTCATGCTCACCTGTTGGTAACTTCTTGAAGTGGCCATGCTTTGTCCTGCAGCTCCAGGATTGCTCTTCCTCTGCAGCACCAAACTCAGTTAACAATTTAGGTCTTTATAAAGAGGTAGGGATAGAGAACTGTACTGTCCAAAGAGGATTGTCATGTCCAGATCCTCTGCAGCACCAAACTCAGTTAACAATTTTGGTCTTTACAAAGAGGTAGGGATAGAGAACTGTAAAGGAGGGAAGAAAATTAGTCTGTGAGATGAAAAATTTCCAGAGATCAAAGCAGTACAGAAAAAAAAATGGCACTTATTGGGGAAAATCTCTTTCCTTACCCCCCAAAATTTGGTGGAAAAAATAAGATACCTGCAGAATTACCACATTATCTAAATGGAATTAAGACTATTTAATATGCAAGAGTTATTTTCTATATTGGGATAACAAAGGAAGGACTGGATGTGTATCTATGAACTAAATATACATTGTATGTTATATACACTGCATCCTGCAGACTTGGAGAGAGCACTGATCTCATTTTAGTCTTCTGCTCAGCTTCCTCTTTTCCATACCAAGCCTCAGAGGAAGTAAACAGGGAGAAAAATGTGAAAGTTTTCTTAAAAGGACTTCTCACCCTTCCTCTGCAAAGTAATAATGTGCCAAAATTGTTTCTCAGAATTTATTCAGTGGCTGGAGTGAATCCTGATGGGGATAGGAATGGGAAGTAAAACTGTAACTGCTGTGTGCAAGGCAGAGGCAATTTCAGCCCCTCAGAGAGATGTTAGATGAGCTCTACCCAGTGAGCTGACTTGTCCAGCTACTCAAGGTGCAGGAGGACTTGCTGGGTCCCTAATGTGATGCTGAAAAATGGCCCTGGAGTGCATCTGCACCTTCCATCTCCTTCACAGTTGTTGCCCTCCAGAGGGAAGCTGGCCAGCCTCACGTGCCCAAACCATCCCTTCCTCTGCTCCTTGCCCTCCAGAGTTCATCACACAAAGCTGCTCTTTCCTAATACTGTCAAGTGTGAGAAATCACATCTCCTAGATGTCAGGAATTGTTGTTCTTGCACAGTGCTGGAAGAGTAATTGCTGAATGGTGTGGAGTGGAGCAGGGTGCTAATTATTACAGTGCTTGGGAAGCAAGGCAAGCAGTGTATCTCTCCCCCCTTGAGCAAAGCCCTTGAGCAGCTGTGCTCTCTGTAGGCTTCATGGACTATTTCTGTGTTGGAAATTTGCAAATATGCCCAAGTACCTTGTTGCATTGATGCCTCAAACAGCCCTAGTGTGAGCAGTTCCAAAAGAACTTCCCTGCTTTCTGTAAAATAGGAGAAAGATCCTCCTGGTTGTTTTTTTAATAAGCTGAGCAGGTCTGGAGGAGGATCTCCTCCAGAGCTGAATGCACCTCACATTTGAGATGTAAATGGTGGGCAACCATATTTTCAAGTTCTGTAGCAGAGCAACCAGGTACGTGGGTTTTGGTAACACAATCAAGCTGTACCCTTCCCAAAGCATTCCAGGTGGGCTCCAGGACTGTCCTGTGTTCTCCTTTTCCTGAAAGATATCCCAAAGAGGGAATACATTTAGTGAGAGTATTGGATCTTTTCTGGAATAAGGGAGAGAATCTCTTCCAGGGTTGTCATCTCTGAAAATTATATCCATTTCCCTGCTGTTCCACAAGTGTGTGCAGGACAATAAACCATGGGAATGAAAGCATAATAGACCCACTCTTTGCTGTAATGAACATTTAAATACCACTCCTTCTCTGAACTGAAATAGCTCACGTAGAAATGTCCACCCACAGAAATATCCAATATAGACAATACACTCATCAGCCTCAGTACTTTCAAAAATATTAATACTCCACAAGAAACATTTATAACCTGTAAGCACATTATTCATGCACAAATAACCATTCATGTTTATATAAAGGGCCCAGTAAAAAAGCTAAAAATACATATGCAGAACACTGAATAATTACATCTGTCTTAGGTCTCACTGGTAAGCAAAGTTCACTCCAGTATCCATCCCCAGCAGGGCACACTTGGATCAGTTGTGTGTCCATCAAACAGCTGATTGTCCTTCTCAGAAGCTACCCCTGGTGGGTGTGTACACACAATGTCCCAGGTTATTCACAAACACATCCCTCCAGCCCCCAAACTTGCACACCTGAACCCCTCGTTGTAAAACACCCCCTGAGGACTGAGATCCTGCTGGGAGTCCAGGTGCCTCCACACAGACAGATTCGTACCCATCGTCCTCCCCCAGGCAAACCTCCTTGTTCATGTGATTTTCCAACACTGTAGAGCTGAACCCCCCACTGAACACCTCCTGTAACCCTCAGCAGTGCAGAGCCATGCAAGTCATTTAATTCCAGGTGTGTGTTTCTATCCTGCAATCCCTAATGAGAGGTTGTGAGCAAACAAAAGCTACATATCTCGATCTTCATTTTTCTCCCTCTGACAGGATAGTTGGGAAACACTTTTCCAATGCAAGAGAGTTACTGAGCTGTGAATAGAGGTGGGAAAGAATTGCTTACCTTAAAGCCTTTGTCATTCTGCTTGATTTTGTCTAAGGGTTTGGGGATTGGAGCAGGAGGGAGTCCTGGGAGGGAAGTCACTCCATGTATTGGTTGCTTCCCTAGGACTGGTTCTTGTCTGTTCTGGTTTAGTGCAATATCACTCAGGCTCGTGTGTGGCTGAGCTGATCTGTGTGCTTTGTGTCATTTTTCCTCTATCAAGACTATTGGTTTTGACTCAAATATGGATTTTATACTGATCTGAAGATACCCAGAGATGGCAAATGCAGCTCTATCCTACTTGGTTCCAGGGGTTATTCAACATGACTTGCATTTTAATTCGCCAGCTTTAACTTTCACTCCTTTCAAGACCTGTCACTCATTTTAAAAAATTGAATTTACCCCGTCTCTGTTGTTTTCTCCCACTTGTTACTAGGAATGTATTTCTATCAGAAATAATGGCTCGTGAAACTGAGATAAGAGAGGATGTTATTTATGCTCAAGTAATTAATGCCCATGATAAGCGCCGTGCATTGCCAGCCGTGTCTGCTGCCATAGATGAGAGGCATGTTGCCAGGAAGTGTTAAGCAGCAGTTTGGTGGATGATGGAGAGGATACTTAATTAAGTTACAGGGAAACTGGGCAAGCT